TTATATATATATATATATATATATATATATATATATATATGTAATATATATATGTGTGTGTGTGTGTGTGTGTGTGTGTGTCCTCTAGTAATGGCATACCTCGCGTTTGAATAAGTATCCATAGACGTCCTTAGCATAGTCAGGACAGAATTCGGGGAAGTCTTTATCTCCTATATCGATGTCTTCGATTGTGACTGGAAGATCATCGAACCGCTCGGGCAAGACATGTTTGGCCTCGAGTTTGTCGGCCTGTAAAATTCAGTCAATTGATTAGTATATACATACTGGAACTTATGAACGGTGGATCCCGAATCGGTAGCATAGAATATTCCTGAAATATACATATACACTCAGAATGCGTATTTATACCGTTTCCTTTTGAATGGCTTGGTACACATCAACTTATATAAGGTCACATACACAAAAATGGAATGCATTTCAGATCCAAAAAACGTGTAGGACAAGCAATCGAACACTATTGAAAACAGGTCCACTACCACATTAAATGTATATAAAAATATGCCCTAGCCCAGCACCAAAAGTCAATTTCTATAAAATAAAATAAAATATTCTTGAATTTTGACAAAAGCCGATTCTCAAATTTCTGTAAAAGCCAATATTAAATTTTCACCTTATTACAAAACAACAAATTGGCGGTGCCAATCACAAATGATTATTCACCAGGTCAGTATAACTTTTAAATGGGCACATACAAGTGTCTGAGGCTTGGTTGGCTTCTGGATTCCGAGTGGTACGGCGAAACCCAACGCTGAAAGATTTGTTGTCAAATCTGTATGGCTCTCTTTGGGCGCCTTCTCCTGATAAAACAAGGATAAATGGATTGCTTGAGTACACAAATGCGATCGTATGTAATGTAAAAGTGTAGATAGAGAAGCAGACTGTATTTACTACTTGCAGTTATAAACTCACATGCAACCAACCGCTTCAACGAAATCAAGTATCGGACCTATCAAGGCCTTTACGTGCAAACGTATACCACACATCCGATCCACTTCTGATGCTCATTATGTTTATAATGATACATACATTTCCACTTTTAATTTGACACATGCGTATGCCACCAAGACGGATAGTCGCCCATGCTTCAAAAAACTAACTACTAAGATTTCGCTTCATCTAATGAAATGATACGACATAAATTGACCTTTTTCGATCTGTGCGATCTCGTCATTACACGTCCAGTATCTCAAGAAGTCGCACACACTCGACAAAGTAGAATTAATAGCCGCTACGGCACACATGCCCTTTCCCTGTGGAGGCAAGTGAGAGTTTCTGCCTGTATCCTCAATTTCCTTAAATCGATACTCTATAACAGAGCGATTCCTAAAACGTGCACGTCAAATCAAAAAACACACATGCCCCACATACAGGAGGGCCTCTTTCAAAAACAAATGTACTATATGCACATACAAGCAAACGAGCGTACATGGTGTGGTTTGGCCCACATTCCGGGTCACATAAGGTGGTTGCAGTCGGAAATATAATTTACCTCTGACTTGGCGGGGGCAGCATTTTTCATACGGCTTAGTGATCGCCTGTGAAAGTGTGGTGTCAGACTTGTTTAATGACTTACAACCGTACATACTACAATGGCAGAATACAGTACAATCAAGCGTACAACTTTCACCTCACTAACAGCTGGCAAAGCAGAATTCCACTTGAAACACCTCTAAGCGTGTGAATTATATGAATACTACGTAACACAGGTCACCTTTAATGGTACATACTCAATATTATATAGTAACAAAACATCATTTAGGCTAGAATTTGTTCCCATTGGTAATCCTGCACTTACCGGGTCTGCATGCCCTCCCTCCTGACCGCCGCCACTGCCGGCTTCTTTGCCGACGGCTTGTGTGTCTTGACTGGCTGGCGGTGGGCCGGTGCCTGTAGGTAAAAAAGAATTTTACAATCGGATTGCCGCGAAATGAGCAGCTAGTTCAGTGTACAAGGTCAAACAGTTTAGCTATGGTCTACATATTATGCAACCGTGCGTGTTAGATTAGCAATGGCGTACACCATGGTTATTAGTTTGAAGATGGGTACTCAAATGTATATCGGACAAAATACTAAAGACAACCAGTAAATTTATAGCAATCGCACGGGCATCAGCTGCATTATAACCAGTCATGTTATGACATAGCAACCAGATAGTATGTTCGAAATACGGCTCATCTTCCCCGCACTGTGTCCGACCAGATCAGACATTCGTTATATCACAACCATTGCACTGAACTGTACATAGCAATCATATGACCTTCCCATAACATTTTATCTCACCTTTCACTTCCTAATTGCCAAACACATACATACATGTTTGCATACTCGCATGCAAACATACATAAATGCATACATACCTGGTTCCTATTGCCTATACTCTGTAGCGGATTTCGGCGATCAGCCAACCCCTTTGCTTGTGTGCCTTGTGTCTGCGACGCAGCAGATTTATCCTGAGGAGCCCTTGCCTGTGACCGTGTGATACGCTTTCCAATGAGAGCATCATGGTGTGCCGTACTGTTTTCATCGACAAAGCTTGATTTGTTGGCCTCGGCCGCCTGTGAGATGGTCAGATAGATGGTCGGGTAGATATGCATTAGGCGTGTAGTATTTTAGCAGAGGAATAGATTGTTGTTTAGGAATAGAATGTTGTTATGGATAGATGAAATATCCAAGAACGACTCGGGGTTGTTGACCAGAATAGGAGAAATCTGACGTAGACATATACATATATCATGTAAATAGACATATACGCAAGTATATCCATGATGTAGGTATATGCAGGTATGTAGGAATATTCAAACGTGCCGGATGAGTTTAAAACACTATAAAAACACTGTGACTCAGAACACGGCGACTTTGAAGCACCTCAGACATCCAAACACGCAGTGGGAACAATGTACTTACCGCGGCCCGTGTTCGTAGAGACATCCTGAAGGCTCTGTGTTGATACCCTTACTTAGCTGTGTGGACATAATATGATGTAAGATTAGTCGTTGAGGTATGGATTTAACGCATCTAAAGCATAGAATCTCATGTCAGTCGGCCTTGTTGACCAAGCCTGGCGAAATACACGCAGGTTGTTATCCAAGAAAAGGACGTTCTATGCAGAAAGGAACACAGGAATTACAGTGAAATGATGCACTGAAACGTACCAATTAGCTATAATTGGGCTGGATGCTGTAGTGTTCATACGTGTGCGTCCTACTATCGATGCCGTCAGTCGCCACTTGCTGCTCTATACTAAGTACGTATGAAGGTTATATATAATATAGCTGTCAGCAAATATATATCTTTGTTATAATACAGTATTAATACATACAACAGAAAGGCTTTAGGGCTTGGCGGTGTAACCGTTCGTGAGTTCTATTTTTGTTTACAGAAAATCCGTTGAAGACTACAAAGCCGAACTCAGAACTTCCCGCTCTGAATATACCGGATCTGATTGGTACATGCCCCAACTGCCAATACAGGGTTTTTAAACCAACATATTGATGAAAAAATCTTTTAGTTTATTCACTACTATTTTGTCGCGTGACCATTACAAACCGGGGTTTTTTTCTTTTCTTTTTTAAATATATATATTTCCTTGCGTCTAATTAGGCGTGCGTTGCGCCGCCAACCTACTCGATTACAAAAATGCAGATGATGACGTACTTTAGTAACTTTTCAACAGCAGCGTAAGCTTTAATGGTATCGTATATCAATTGATTAATCTATATATTCATTGCGTATTAAAACTGTTAATTGGCTAGCACAACAGACACTATCTGGTCGCTTTGTCTGATCAAATATCTTTTTCTTATCGCATGTAAACTCCTTGAAGAAATGTTCAGCATCAAATATTGAAACTATATATTTTGTATGAACGAACGCAAAGGCAGCAACAGATCTGAGCATGTATTATGTTCGCTTCAAAACGGTGATTCCATCCGTGATTTCTGTTACTATTTACGTATACATTCGAACTCTCGAGAGGTGCTCTGTTAATAGTGTATTCTGTCCCATTTATACAAAAAGTGACTATTATACTTGTGTGCAACAACTGTACATAATGCCCTAGTACTCTAGGATTTATTTTATGCTATACATGGCATATTATACTTATTTTAGGTAAATAAACAGCATTCAACCCCTCTGGGCTCTGGCACATTGAAAACCTGACCCTCTCTAAAACCCTAAAACCCAAAAAAAAATGAGATCAATGCCATTCACTCAGTGGGTCACTATTATTTAATACTACTCTAGCAGTCTCACCAGAGTCCGATGGCCAATTCTTAATCCGTTTTTATAAAAGGGGTACAAGTTCAAGTTTAACGTAAACGCTTATTTATTGGAATATAAACCACGGGTCAACAGATCAAGGGGAGATCGACCTATTCTGTACATTAAACGGTGTCCACTAGTATTATGTAGTAAGGAATATTAGGAAACTTTGAACCTCAGGGCTCCGAATATGCACCTCTAGCGACAACTATAGAGCTATAACAATATAAATATTGAACGTTTTTTAAACATATTTCTTCAAAGTCTATTCGTTTGAAAACGCAATGCGTATCGAGGATAGGATCTGTGTATTTTATTTTTTTGATTTGTATACTATACACTCCAAGAATCCAAGGCACCTCTCTTATGAATCCGAACACACTTTGATATATCGCACTATTTACACACAAGGAAGGTATTTATTTACCTTGAACAATGTCTTACTATGGCAGGTGAACGAAGTACGGATGAATCGTGGTACTTCACAGAAGAGGAGCTCAAATACCAAACCGCTTCTCGAGCAGACAATATATCCTTTGAAGAAGAAGAGAAGCTCAGGCGTGTAGGGGCGGGATTCATACAAGATGTCGGGGAATCGATCCGCGTTCCCCAGTTGACTATAGCCACGGCGTCCATATTCTTTCAGCGATTTTATGTTTACCAGTCCTTCAAGGAATATGATGTTAACGTAGGTTTACGTGTTTCAGAGGTACTCGGAATTCGAGGATGTTGTGTGATACATGTGCGCCATTCCACCGCTTCTGCGTGTACAAATCTTTCGTTCAAGGCATTGTGCATGTAGTGTTTTGAACGTGAATATGATATGTTATACATTCACCAATGGTCTGCTGTTGTTCTTATATATGTAACTCTTGTCTTTACCGACGCAGGTGAGTGTTGATTTGCAAACTAGTAAATAAGTACCCACACCTTGTGTTTAGTTATACTTAGTTGGTATTTTGTTTGTTTGAAGGTTTATTCGTTTGAATTGTGTCAGTGACTGTAAATTACAGCTTTCGACGTCATTAAAGGAAGCTCAAAACAAATGCACAACCAATAATATATATATATATGTATGTATGTACGTATTTATGTATGTATATATATATGTATATGTATATATATATATATATATATATATATATATATATGCATGTATGTACACATATATATATATGTGTGTGTGTGTGTGTGTGTGTGTGTATAATTATACATTAGTTCAGTCCGAGTGTATATGTGTATGTAAGTTTAGTTTAAGTGTTTGTGTGTGTGTGTGTGTGTTTGTGTGTTTGTATGCATATATATAATAAAATACATATTCATACATATATGTTTGTGTGTGTGTGTGTATGTATGTAAATATACATATATATTTGTGTGTGTGCGTGTACATATGTATACATATATATATTGATGTATTGTATGTATATATATATATATATATATATTGATATTGATATGTTTGTTTTTTTAGCATATATCGTGCATGCAAATCATTCAAATATTGTCAACTTAGTTTTACTTATCTTTGAAATCGTAGTTGAAACACCCAAATCACCAGGCACTTGTAGATGTACGTGTCTTTTCATACGTATTTGTTTCTGGTGTATGTCTCTATGCATACGAATATAGGATGTACAGATATTAACTGTGTGGATCATCAAGTACAATGTAGGAGTTAGTTCCTATGGATACCATAATTAAAATGTTCGTGTCACTCGCTTCTATAACCCCTGAAGCTTCTCCCTCAACGCAGTTTTGTAGAATGCAGGCTGTCATGTTATTAATTGAGCTGGTACGCAGTATGCACACCTTATACACCGACTAAATGAATACAAACTTTCGACTTACTCGATTTTAGATCATGGCGACCTGTTGTTTGTTCCTGGCTGGTAAGGTAGAGGAGACACCTAAGAAAGCAAGGGATGTCATTATCCACAGCGCTAGGATAGAGGGCAAACCTAAGATGTCTGAAGACAGCACGGTGAGTTTTTATATCGCCCGCAGTTTTTACTTTGTTTCGTCTTAGACGTATTTTTGTTTTGTACAGCATCTGCTGTGTGATCCTTCATCTATTTTATAGTGCCTGATGGTCTAAGTAAATTCTGTGTTGATTAAGTGGTGTGACTCTTGCGGAAACGAATGTGTTTTTCGCACCTGTAGTTACCACCTTGTATCGTTGTATGTATACATGAGTACATTTACGAATAATTTAATTCATATATTTGTGTATGTGTGTGTTTATATATATATGTGTGTGTGTGTGTGTGTGTGTGTATCCACATTCATCCATATATGTACTCATGTGTACTGCATATGGCTGTTTATCTAGATCAATTTCGAAATACTTGCATCCACCTGTTGTATAAGAGTGGAGTTCTCAATTTACGTTTATATTTATATATATATACCTGTACAGGAGTTCAAGAACCTGAAGGACCAAGTGCTTAAATGTGAGCGATTATTGCTGCAAACCATAAGTTTCGACCTGGCTGTCGAGCACGCGTACAAATACTTGCTGCAGTATGTGAAGGACATCAAGGGCGATCGCTCACTGGCACAAACCGCGTGGAACTTCGTCAACGACAGGTACGCGTTGAGTTATTCATTTTGGTTTGGTGTAGGTAGCTCATATTTACGCTATTGCTGATAGGCAAACTGCACAAGCAACCGGGTTAGATATTTATACCCTCTTCGATAGTCTATTGGATTACTGGGGTCTTTCTTATTTGTATCGAGATCGTCGATTTGTTTTCAATTAAATTGTGCTCGGCGTTATGTGCTGGCATGAAAGCAGATTGCTGTTCCAAGAAACTTGTTTTACACTTTGTACTTTTTACCTACACCTTTGCGCGCAGTTTACGAACTACGCTAGGTCTACGTTACAAACCCCAGGTGATCGCTTGCGCTGGTATCTTACTCTCGTCTAAGTACAACAAAAGTGCTTTAAGCGAAACATCCGATGGCAAGAAAGTACGTGCGCCTGAATGTTTTTGTTGTTAACTTATGAGTAGATCCGAGCCTTTTTTTGTTGTAGTCTCTTCCAGCAGCATTGAGCATATGTTTGCACAATGTTTATCTCACCCATTCGAACTTGAATTTGTCGTTAGTTTGTTCTCGGCAGCATTAAGCTTGCACCTGAACTGACGCTGAATGGACCATATCTGTTCTACTTCCCTTGGACAGTGGTGGTCAGCATTTGTCGATGTCAGTGAAGATACGCTGAAGTACATCGGCGACGAAATTATCAAGCTCTACCCTCCAGACCAGCTAGCTGTATTCAACGCTATGGTAATTTCCACTCTTACAGGCAATTAATTGTCCGTCCGCTTTCCTTGTTCGTAATTGTCTTCTGTCAATGACTTTGTATCTTAAAAACCTGCGAAGCAGTTAGGTGACATTCGCTTTCGTTTAGTCCCAATACATTATGTTGGCTTTTCTACTTGCTTGAGATCAAACCTGCATATCAGTTTGATCAGAAGATTCTATAGGTCTTGCGTGTCACAAAATCAGACTTTTAAGCATTGCGCAACTTCTAACGATATCCTGTCTATACTTTGCTCATCAGGCTGCTTCGGACGGTGAAGATAGGGGTCGCTGAAAGCCTTGGCGAAATTTATGCATACCAAATAGTCGGAAATTTAAAATAGCAGTCGAAGTATTCGACTTACTGAGGTATTAAGCATTCTATCAAGATGTACATCCGGAGGATTTGAGCAGACAATGTTCTCTGGCGCTGGTATTAAGGGTCTTGATGTGACAGTACTTTATACTGGGAATCTCTCATTGTCGCAACGATGGGTGGAGAACATCCGCTTCCAAAGATGCGGAAGAAAGTATATGACTATTCGTGATCGATATTCATGACTGTCCTTCGGGAATTGGCTGCAAGATGGCTCAGGGAATGCTCGTGTGTGCTGACACCAAAATCGTTAGCATCCTGATTGCGAGCTTTGGCGATGCGGTCTATATAAACAAATTGCTGTACGGGTTTATTCGTCTGCGAAGCTTTTAGTTCGCGATTGGTGAGCATCAATCAAGTATGTGATCCGATCTCAGCACCTTTGCTGCCACGAGTGCTCTGGATAGGTAGTAGTATAGTGGGGTAGGGGTTATTGCTTGTCGTACGTGTACATGGAAGCGCAAAGTCACGCTTCAATGATCACAGCTTACAGGTACTGCGGCAGCGTTCTCCGTAGGCGGCCATAAATCCTCTTTTACCTGCACGTAGATACAAGATTGATGCACGCTATCTCTAAGAAGGCTTATGTATTTGACAGAATACTCTTCTACAGAGCGCACTCACATGGACACAGAGATTGAACTGTTGTCTTGTAGACATTTTCTGAAGACGAAGAAGCCTGCACGCATCGATTCAACATCATTGTGTATGCAATCACTTCTATGGAATAAAGTCGGAAATCAATATCTACACAAGGGTTTGGTTGTTTTCAATAGTTCAAAAAATCATTCATCGACAGGGAGAGGCGTACGGATATCTGAAGCACCTCCCCACTCAGCCGCACACCTACAGTCGGGCAACCGATGATGGATGCGCATTCGCCTGATAATGTTACCTGTCACCAAATGTAAAATACAATTTGATACATGGTATAACCCCAGGATGGCTGATATTTAAAGACAAACATTACATGAATATTGCAGTTAATTTGAGGGCTCTCTTCTCAATAGAAAGGGGACATTCAAGATTCAGGTGCAAACCACGAATGGTGCAAACCGGCCATCAACAGCATTGTTCATTGTGCTCAGCTAATTGAACAAATAACTTTCCTGTTGGATCGGTAACAGCAACAAATTGCGCTTCAAAACGAATGTCAGAGTTTCGAGTTCGAATAGTTATCAACTGTAACACGAATAGTCACGTGTTGAACGTAGAACAGAAGATCGAGCTCATTGTTTTTCCATGACCATATGGGTTGGCAAACTACCAAATCTAGATTAGACGATCGAGTTCAGAACGTTTTCAATCGCAACATTAATGGTCACATTGCAAAACGTATCTTAGAGCGCAAATTACAATACGTTTCTGTCATCGTACCTTCTAATAAGGAGAAAACTATATTTTCCAGCCTCGGGCTCATTACATTTCAACTGCCATACGAACTCCAAATAAGAGTTAACATCGCATCTAGACAATGTGGCTTTTTATGACTCTATAAATTCTAAGCCTGCGAGGAATTCGCATTTCCCATTGTATAATGGCGAGCCACCTTTTTATTTACCGGTGTGTATAACTATATTTCTTTGACATGGCTGTCAGACTGGATCCAACTGTCGCTCTATGTTTTGTGTGATTGTTTAGCATTTTGAGGCAATCTGAGAACAATGTACTATACAGCTATTGCATTAATGTGCACTGCAATACAATACATTTTGTCTACTTGCATAACGCTGATCTAGAATATCTGATGCTACAATTAAGCGCGGGCAAAATTTCAACCTTAATCCGACTCATCCCAACTGCTTGCGACCTGGCATGTATATGTATAGTCTTCTAAATCTTCCTGACAGGAGGATATTGTATTTACCTCAGGTTTCACTACTAAGCAACCTATAATCTGAAATGTGTGTCCGACTTGAGTTTTTCCTCTGACATGGCTGTCAGACTGGATCCAACTGTCGCTCTATCTTTGTGTGATTGCTTAACATTTTGAGGCAATCTGAGGACAATGTATTATACAGCTATTGCATTAATGTACACTGCAATACAATACATTTTATCTACTTGCATAACGCTGGTCTAGAATATCTAATGCTACAATTAAGCGCGGGCACAATTTCAACCTTAATCCGACTCATCCCAACTGCTTGCGACCTGGTATGTTTACTGTTAGAGTACTATGTAGTAGACTTTAAATAAAGTGCAAATGTAAGTATTTATTTCTGACTCACCTTTGGTTTTACACCTAAGGTGTTTGTGCTAGTGTTCAGCCACTTGGGCTGGCCAGGGTACAAACTCATATGGTCAGTATGAGAAACCATCTGCAGAACACTTAAACACTTCGATGCTATTCTATTTCGACTCCTCTGCAACTAAATCTCACGCTGATCACATGATGCCTTTCCGCATAGGTTGTGATTCACATAGAACCGCAGCTATTTTTAGAATGTTGCGGTTGGCAGACTTAATCCACTCTCGGGAGCTAGTCGAAAAACTTAATCTGCTCTCGGAAGTCGGTTAAGTATTAACTCAACTCTCGGGAGTAACAAAAGCAACTTGATTAGCTCTCGGGAGTGAGCTAGCTCTCATGACTTCTATACATCAATGAGGCTTTCTTGCTGTAAATCTGGTCTGAGATCTGTAGTCTCTCACAAACCATGATAAATACAAAGCTATCTGACATATAACTCAGAAATAATGTTCACTGTATCCCTGTAGGTGCTATTAATGATGTTAAGTTCTATTTGGATCAGTCAACAAGTTGTGATGACTATTTGAGATTGGTTGAAATATTTGTCGGATAGTCCTGACGCAGTGAACGCATGGCTCAGGTTTCTTCAGCAGCACAGTGTACATTATAAGGAGTACCAATAACCCCCACAAAGCTCATGCATATGGAACAAATTCTGATATACTTAGTGTTTCATTTCAAGACTACTCTATAGATACAATTTATCACTGATAAGAATGATACGGGCTTGGCACTTCAAGTTGAAAGGTAATATCATAGTTTTCTCTGTGGATGGCTTTAGTACGTTCGCAACCCATTTGACAACCCAAAATATTTCCAACATACTATCCCGAGAGAAGGTTCATTATATCTCTGTAAGTGCTATACTTAGTACTGCAGCCTGTCGACAATGGTCGAGGCTTGCACGTTGCCAGTAGATTCCAAGTGGACAGCTGATGTCCATCGCCCGATGTTCATAGCTTCGTCTTCGGGGATGCCAGCTTCCATGAGTGCGGTAGGTGCTTTACTGATAAATGGCGACGCGCTAGTGTCTTGTTAAAATTCTTAGTAAACGTCGATTTAGAATAGGCTTCACCGTTTAGCAAAAATAGCTGTGCAGTGTCCGGTTCACCGTTGGTGCGACACGACCAGTTGACAAGTGCGCGATAGGAACATATAGCGGACAGTTCTGTGGGAAGTTTAGGGATTGTAATTATGCTTGTACGATCTAGGCTGGTTTTGGAGATGGGGAGTGCGATTTCTGCATAGGTTGTCATCAGACGTACGCCCTTACCGCGGTGCACATGCATAGAAGGCGAATAGTGTTCGAGGTCCGTATGTACGGTTAGCTCACCGAAGCGCTGAACACCAAAAACACCTACCAATATAGTCACATACAGTCGTATTAGTTCCATGTTGTCTCGGTTCTGTCAAATGTAGGACTGAATGTTCGGCCTGATCATAGCGGGGGTGAAAGTGGTCGTCGTGGGTGCTTGGGTGAGACTCTACCTTAGGCCACTCTGCGACGGCGAATTGCCTTCTGCAGCAGCAGTACTACGTCCCAGCGCTTTGGGAATGGATGTTCTGCATTCCGTGCAAGATAAACCTTGATAGAGTCAGGTTCTAGACCGCGCGCATCTAACCAACCGGCAAAGAGCATTCGTACATGACGAGGTATGCTAAGGTAGGCGGCCTGCAAGTATGTCTTCTTCAGGTGTTGCTATTTTCTGGGCGACTTGGAAATCCAAGTATTGCCGTTGCACGCTGTTGGTTGATGACATTGTGGCTAGGCGGTGTGCGTAGCAGTGTGTCGCGTGTGCGAGCAACCAGAGCCGCTTTCGTGTTCGTACGATCTGATCCGAACGGCAGTTGCGATGAATGTTGTAAGTCTGTGTGAGTGGATGCGGTTCGTAAGTATGTGTGGAGCAAATTGGGCTTATAGGATTTAATTAATTTTGAGAAGTTGAATGCTCTTCCGATGTACGTATGTGTGACTCTCCCCAACTATCAACATGCCAATATGTGGGTCCCCCTGCCCCATGTGCGTGTAAATAATTATATGCAAAATACGTTCATAGATACCTCCAGAGACCCTCACGTATGTGGTTGTGGCTGTGAATTTTTACAATCCATACATATGTCATATGTGATTGCAAAAAAAACAATTGCAATAAAGAGCAGCCAGAGTCGATGAGGAATGTTTACTTTAGATTTTAATCGAAGGTTGGCCTCGTAGGTGGCTATAAGACCCCCAAATGGAGTGGTGTTAGGAGGCAGATTGGGTTGTGCTTTGCGAGCAGTGACCATATTGCGTCTGGAAATAGCATCTGCTATAATATTTGCTGGTCCTGGGATGTATTGTGAGTAATGATGTTGGAGGTGAGCGAGCGTACGTCTGCTACTGCAGAACTGTTATCACATAGCACTGTAAAGGAGTGACCTTCGAAAAGATAGCCGCGCAGTGCGATGGTATAAATAACCATCATTGTAGATATATATCCACCACCCCCTATGGTGGTGCTGGCATCGGAGGCGATGGTAATATTGGTCAAGACTAGATGTTCAATCACGCAAGTGCCCTTCCAACTAGTGAGTATAGTATGTAATGACGAGACATCGTTTCTGATTTCTTGTGGAATTCTTCTGTAGTGATCCTTGGGCCACCTTTTTTTTTTTTAGAGTATGGCAGCAACCAGTAAAACCTTTGTATGTATGGGCGTGCCTGGTGAAATATGGCCGTCAACCAGATCAATTTTCCCGCAAGCTCTGCAATATCTCTGACTGTGGCCTTTGCGCATGACTTCCACGTATGTAATAACTGGAGGTATATGTACATCTTTGCCTGCGAAATGTATATTGTTCGAGTCTTCATATCGATCAAGATGTCAATCCACTCAACTAGAGTGAGCCCCCCCCTTGAATTTTGCCTCCACAATCTTGATGCCCATAGCCGCGAATCGTTCACGGATTACTTGGATATGCTTCGAATATTCACCTGGGCCGTGAACGAATATGTAGTCGTGGTCCCATTTGGCGAAGGCCAAGTGCGCTTCTTCAAGTTCCAATTTAAACCTGCGGCAAATCGTTCGTATAATATTTGTGCATCTTTGCCTGCGAATGGCCTATTGTTCGAGTCTTCATATCGCTCAAGATGCCAATCCACTCAACTAGAGTGAGCCCCTCTTAAATTTCGCCTCCGTAATCTTGATGCCCATAGCCGCGAATCGTTCTCGGATTACTTAGATATGCTTCGAATATTCACCTGGGCCGTGAACGAATATGTAGTCGTCGACCCATCTGGTGAAGGCCAATAGCGCTTCTTCGAGTGTCCAATCTAAACCTGCGGCTAATCGTTCGTATATTTCGGAAGAACTCACGAGGCCAAATGGTAAACATACTTCGCACCAAATATCATCATTCACTCGAATCCTAGCAGAGGGATATCCTCTCTGTGAACTGGCACCAGCCGAAAAGCTTATGTGATGTCTATGACGCTGAGTAAACTCCCGGGCGGGCTATGCTTCACTTTATGCAGTATCCAGTCGAGTCCTCGATAAGATATACGGCGATATTCGATATCGGCATTTATACCCTGATGAGAATCATTCCTTGGATAGCTCAGATCATGTACTCGTCGACATTTCTTGTTGCCGTGGCCGGATACTTTTGTAGTTTGAGACAGTGGTGATACGCGGTAGTATGGGGGTTCTCTGAGGCTGGCCTTAGGGAATTGTCTGAATACTGTACCTAGCTTTCTCAACGGTTGCAGTCAAGCCTTCCATGTTCAAACCCCTAAAATAATTGTGTTGAGCGATACCCTCTAAATCCAATTTTTGCACCATTACGCAAATTATCGAGCATAGAGTTTTTATCATATCATATCCTACAAGCGCTTGCCTGAATTGGTCAGGGTTTGGGACTATTGGAGGGGTCTATGATTGGATATGGCTCGTTAATATCATTGCTCGGCTGCTGTACCAAACTGGAGATACTACGATCGACATGTCACTCGTGCTTGGCGGCTTCATGTTTTGGTCCCGAATAAGTGGCTCGAGGTTTTCATGTTGGTTTGTTCCACTCGTGAACGTACTGGCAGTTCTCGACTTTGCACTGGCCACGGTTGAACCTGTGGCATCTGCCCTTGTGATCGACGGTGGCACCTAATTTGTATCTTTAACCTTCTTCGAGAGACATGTGCAATAGGTTTTGATACATTGCAGATAGAACAGTAAGCGTAGCGCAGTGTAAAAATCCGGATAGCAGGGCATTGTCGATCTTCGCAAGTCTGGTTTTATTGGTATATTCGTCCATGTTGCATCGATGTTCTCTGTTTAAAATTGCGACTGCCTCCGGATTTATCTCAAGGAGGTATTGGCAGAGTTGTGCCGGGTAGGCCGGAGCATCTAGAACAAATGTTGGGTCAACCTTCGATGTTGCGTTGAGTAGAAGCATAGATCCGAATACATTGGCTCAGATTTTGAGAACTTCAGCGGCACTGCTGAAAGATTCTTTTGGTGCCTTCACTCTAGCTATGCCTGATTCCAGTGTGAGATCTGTGTGTCGTTCCCGTGCGTGTGCTGGACGGGCAGCACGTTTCATATCTGCAGAATTCACTGGCTTAATGTAATAAGCCGGGCCTCCACATTAGACTCTATGATATAAACGTACTCTTAAGCAGTACGTAAATTATAAACGTACTCTTAATAGTACGAGGAACTTAAGTTTCCTAAATGTATTC